TCAATTTCGCAAAAAAAAGCATCAAAATTCCTTATACTTGTAATTTGCTCAACTGAAACCGTTTTTGATATTGTTAAGAAACGTATAATTTCTGAAAATTACTGAAAATATTCATGTTGAGCAATATTGAAAAATTGATGTCATATGCTTTAGCAAAAAATTTTCCCGAAACTGTTAAAAGTTGAGCAGAGGGGGGCGTCGCTTTTTTGTTTTTTTTCCTTGGCAGCGTTAAAATTGAGATGAAACAAGCACAACCTAATTTATCAAAATATAATTTCATGAGAAAACTTAGAAATACTTTCGTCTATTCTCTGGGCCTCTTTACGCAGTTAAGTATGACAAAAATCAAGATCTATCAACTTACGGCATAAAAAGCACCCATCGCATCAATTTTGCAAAGAAGGCGCCAAAATTCGTTATATTTGTAATTTGCTCAAATGAAACCAATTGGGGGGGGGGGCGTGGCGTTCTGTATTTTTTCCTTGGCGGCGTTAAAGTTAAGATGAAGGAAACATAACCTAATATCACAGAATTTAATTTCATTAGACCACTTAGAAATGCCTTCGTCTATTCTCTTGGCCTCTTTACGCGGTTAAGTGTGACAAAAATCAAACGCTATCAACTTACGGCATAAAAAGCACCCATCGCATCAATTTTGAAAAGAAGGCGTCAAATTTAATTATAAAAATAATTAGCTCAATGGAAACCGTCTGTTTTGGGCGTGTCTTTTCTGTAACTTTCCTTGGCAGCATTAAAAATGAAATGAAACAAGCATAACCTAATTTCACAGAATAGAATTTCATAAGACAACTTAGAAATTCCTTCGTCTATTCTCTGGGCCTCTTTTTGCGGTTAAGTATAAAAAAATCAAGCTCTATCAATTTACGGCATAAAAAGCACCCATCGCATCAATTTCGCAAAGAAGGCGTCAACAATCGTTATCTTTTTAATTTGCTCAAATGAAACTGTTTTTTTTTGGGGGGGGGGGGCGTGGCTTTCTGTATTTTTTCCATGGCAGCGTCAAAATTGAGTTGAAACAAGCACAACCTAATCTCACAGAATATATTTTCATGAGACAACTTAGAAAAGCCTTCGTCTATTCTCTGGGCCTCTTTTTGCAATTAAGCATGAAAAAATCAAGCTCTATCAATTTACGGCATAAAAAGTACCCATTGCATCAATTTTGCAAAGAAGGCGTAAAATTTCGTTATATTTATAATTAGCTCAGATGGAACCGTCTTTTTTTAGCGTGGCTTTTCTGTATTTTTTCCGTGGCATTGTCAAAATTGAGTTGAAACAAGCACAACCTAATTTCACAGAATATAATTTCAGAAGACAACTTAGAAAAGCCTTCGTCTTTTCTCTGGGCCTCTTTACGCGGTTAAGTATGAAAAAATCAAGCTCTAACAATTTACGGCATAAAAAGCACCCATTGCATCAATTTTGCAAAGAAGGCGTAAAATTTCGTTATATTTATAATTAGCTCAAATGAAACCGTCTTTTTTGGGCGTAGATTTTCTGTAATTTTCCTTGGCAGCATTAAAATTGAGATGGAAAAAGCATAACCTAATTTCACAGAATATAGTTTCATAAGTCAACTTAGAAATGCCTTCGTCTTTTCTCTGGGCCTCTTTACGCAATTAAGTATGAAAAAAATCAAGCTCTATCAACTTACGGAATAAAAAGCACCCATCGCATCAATTTCGCGAAGAAGGCGTCAATATTCGTTATCTTTTTAATTTGGGGGGGGGGGGTGGCTTTCTGTATTTTTTCCATGGCAGCGTCAAAATTGAGTTGAAACAAGCACAACCTAATCTCACAGAATATAATTTCATGAGACAACTTAGAAAAGCCTTCGTCTATTCTCTGGGCCTCTTTTTGCGATTAAGCATGAAAAAATCAAGCTCTATCAATTTACGGCATAAAAAGTACCCATTGCATCAATTTTGCAAAGAAGGCGTCTAAATTCGTTAAATTTATAATTAGCTCAGATGGAACCGTCTTTTTTTGGCGTGGCTTTTCTGTATTTTTTCCGTGGCATTGTCAAAATTGAGTTGAAACAAGCACAACCTAATTTCACAGAATATAAATTCAGAAGACAACCTAGAAAAGCCTTCGTTTTTTCACTGGGCCTCTTTACTCGGTTAAGTATGAAAAAATCAAGCTCTAACAATTTACGGCATAAAAAGCACCCATTGCATCAATTTTGCAAAGAAGGCGTAAAATTTCGTTATATTTATAATTAGCTCAAATGAAACCGTCTTTTTGGGCGTAGATTTTCTGTAATTTTCCTTGGCAGCATTAAAATTGAGATGGAAAAAGCATAACCTAATTTCACAGAATATAGTTTCATAAGTCAACTTAGAAATGCCTTCGTCTTTTCTCTGGGCCTCTTTACGCAATTAAGTATGAAAAAAATCAAGCTCTATCAACTTACGGCATAAAAAGCACCCATCGCATCAATTTCGCGAAGAAGGCGTCAATATTCGTTATCTTTTTAATTTGCTAAAATGAAACCGTTTTTTTTGGGGGGGGGGGGAGGCATGGCTTTCTGTATTTTTTCCGTGGCAGCATCAAAATTGAGTTGAAACAAGCCTAACCTAAATTCACAGAATATATTTTCATAATACAACTTAGAAAAGCTTTCGTCTTTTCTCTGGGCCTCTTTACGCGGTTAAGTATGAAAAAATCAAGCTCTATCAGTTTACGGCTTAAAAAGCACCCATCGCATCAATTTCGCAAAGAAGGCGTCAATATTCGTTATCTTTTTAATTTGCTAAAATGAAACCGTTTTGGGGGGGGGGGGGAGGCGTGGTTTTCTGTATTTTTTCCGTGGCATCGTCAAAATTGAGTTGAAACAAGCCTAACCTAATTTCACAGAATATATTTTCATAAGACAACTTAGAAAAGCCGTCGTCTTTTCTCTGGGCCTCTTTACGCGGTTAAGTATGAAAAAAATCAAGCTCTGTCAACCTACCGCATAAAAAGCACCCATCGCATCAATTTCGCCAAGAAGGCGTCAACATTCGTTATCTTTTTAGTTTGCTCACATGAAACCTTTTTTTGGGGGGGGGGGGGCGTGGCTTTCTGTATTTTTTCCGTGGCATTGTCAAAATTGACTTGAAACAAGCACAACCTAATTTCACAGAATATAATTTCATAAGACAACTTAGAAATGTCTTCGTTTTTTCTTTTGGCCTCTTTACACAGTTAAGTATGAAAAAAAATCAAGCTCTATCAACTTACGGCAAAAAAAACACCCATCGCATCAATTTTGCAAAGAAGGCGTCAACATTCGTTATGTTTCTAATTTGCTCAACTGAAACCGTTTTGGTAGGGGGGCGTGGCTTTTCAGTAATTTTCCTTGGCAGCAGCAAAATTGAGATGAAACAAGCATAGCCTAATTTCACAGAATATATTTTCATTTGACAACTTAGAAATGCCTCCAACTATTCTCTGGGCCTTTTTACGCAGTTAAGTGTGACAAAAATCAAACTCTATCAACTTACGGCAAAAAAAGCACCCATCGCATCAATTTTGCAAGAAGGCATCAAATATCGTTATACTTGTAATTTGCTCAAATGAAACCGTTTTTGATATTTTTAAGAATCGTATAATTTTTGAAAATTATTGAAAACATTTGTGTTAAGCAATATTGAAAAACTGATGTCATATGCTTTAGCAAATGGTTATCTTGAAACTGTTAAGAGATTGAACACTGTCATAATTCAAATATCGAACAAGTTTCTGTCGAGTTTGCCAACAAAACATTTGGTGCAAGCGTTTTAGCGAAAAAACTCGACTCGTTTTTGAAAACAACATTATGTTTAATCTCTTACTAAAATTTCGCCAAACGCATTTTACAACAGTTATGAATTGCCTCATAATTTTCCTTGGGCTGTCACTTTTGATTTTTGTCATAGTCTCATATCTGATTTAATGGTTTTCAATTTACTCACCCGTACTAGATCCTCAAAAAAAATCTCTCTAATATGGTCAATGTAGTGTTGCTCTTAGTCGTGTCACCTCGTTCGAAGATTTAATTTTACTGATCTTTGACTTCAAACAAACATTTGCGAAGTAACCCACAAACTGCAGAAGAGAGGTGAAAACAGAAGCTGCAATCTTCAATGTGAAAACCAAGACACTTTTCATGCTAAAAAGACCGCAAAATGCAACCTTTCGGTTTTTATTTTGTATTAATCAGAGTTGTTTTTCCATCATTAACAGATTTTTTCATCTATTCTAGGCTCATAACAAATGACACCATTGCCCTTCAAAAAATAAATACATCATCAGTCATTCAAAAACTTGCTCATATAAATTCTCAAAAAATATTGATAATTGATGAAATTAAACTCAACTCCAAACTTATTATTTTCAACCAGATTTGAAAAATAAGTCATTTTTACAACACATGACAGCTTCTGTCAATTTAGAACATTGAAAAAACTGGGACCTCGCAAAACTATATTGGTCGATAGAAATCAAAAATTAAGGACTCAGATTTTGATCGAATCACTTCGTTTTGATTGCACTACTTCCAAACATATCTTATAGTCGGAGAATTCAACATGAATAAAAACATGACTAATTTTTATGCATTGTAGGGAACACCTCAAAAAAAGAGTTGAAGAATGTTGAAGTTTTGTTCAAGGAATGAATGGGTTGCAACGTTTGAAATGTTCTATTTTTTTTTACTTTGCTCTGTTAGCTCTTTACAAGACTTACCAACACTGTTTCATGATAGGTTTGTTCTGCTGACTTTTCTAAGTTTAAAATAGCTGTGGTCAATTAATATATGCTGTTTGCACAAAAGTGTGTTATCATCGCTAATGTCTGAAATGATTCATGTACTTTGTCTATATTACAAAAGCTCTTTCCGACAAATGAATAGCGGAAAACGATTGAAATTGTCAGAGAAAAACAAGTAATTTATGAATGTTTCTTGCAGAATAGGTTTGAATGCTAAAGAAACTGGAGCGTTGGATGAATTTTAGTACGAAAAAATATCTGAGTGCTGTCTGGATACAACCGGAGAAGTGACTCAGAACAACTTCAGACCGACACAACCTCTGAATGGTCGGGAAGTGTTCACCTCTCTTGACTCAGATGGAATACCAGTCTGGCTCTAAAGATTGATAGAAGCGACACCATGTTTAATTACTAATAAAATTAAGATTGTTATTTGAGGATGGTTCAATAAGTTCAATAATTGGCAAGAAATCTGGTGTGGGTATATCTTTATTTGTGACGGTATCAGTTTGCGGGGTTAAAAAATTTAAAAAAAGCTGTTTTCAAAGTTGTCGAAAAAAAATCAATCACTGTCAAAACACCCGACATTTAATTACTGTAGACATTTGTCAAATTCTTCGATCCCTACAACCTGGATAACAACTTTAGGATATGACTAGTGGTTTTACAAGGTTGAGTATGGAGACCAAATTACTTTGGATTTAAGGAATCAAGTTAACATCTCCCCTGGCTGAAAAATCGAGCTCAGAACCAAGTCAGAACTAAAGGCAATGGGGGGGGGGGGAGGGGAGGATGTTAACTTGGTCCGATTTGAGCAGTTAGTTGGCAAATGCCAACCCGTACCCAGCGAAGGCTGCTTTTCTAGATAGAAATGGTATATAAATTACCTAGCCAAATTTTTTCCTGTACAGAAAATATCTACTTTTTTCTTAGTTTAGAAATAAACAAACTCTGGAATAAATAAACAGAAATCAGTTCACTGCTCAACCGCAACGAGATAAACATGCTTCGAGTATACACAATAGTCGTAGCAATACAATGCAAATCAATACGTTTTATAACAAGTGTTGCTTTGAGTTAGATCGCTAAAACTAATGTAAATTATAATAAATTATATAATCACGTGGTCTAGCGGTTAGCACTGCCGACCATGGAATGGCAGGTCTGGAATTCGATCGCCAGCCGGAGACTTTTTACTAGCTAGAAGTAGCTTAGAGTTAGCTTAATTTCTGATCAAAAATAAGATGAGAAATAAAGAAATTTAGGAAAATCCCTGCTTTATTTAAGCATTCCACAAAGAACTTCTGATCAGAAAATTAGATAAGGTATAAAGCTTTTCAGGTCAGAAGTAAAGAGTTTTTACCGGAATTTTCATCACAATCAAACTAATGAACAAAACTTTCTAGTAAACTTGCATACTTGGGTGATGAACGCATAACAGAATAGATAAAATTTGTTGTTGATGGATGTTTTGGATTGACAATCTCAGTTTTTTGGATGCATGGATCACATAAGAAAAGAGTTTGTTATGAACCATTTCACCAGCTTTTCAAGTTCCGCTATAACCCCGCCTTCTATTGTTCCTGTTCGACGGTTTTTAAATTCAGTGAGATTAAGGAATTTGATGGCTAAATTATCCACCCGGGTAGACGTCTATAGAAGAAAAATGCTGATCATAAAAAATTCATAACTGAAGTCTATGGAAAGAATGGTTATCATACGAAACTCATACAAAATTTTAAGTATTTTTAAATTTTTTTAAAAACATTTTTTGTCCATTTGCTTCTTCTGAAGCTTTCTGGTCATTGAAAAAATAATTTAAAATTTTCGATAAAAAATGATTATCATACAATTTTCATGTATGAAAATTATACGATTATCATTTTGTCCTAGAAAAACAAAATTTTCAGAAATCACCAAAAAACGTGTCAGGGTAACTTTAAACAAAATTAAATAATTATATCTAAGATAGAGGGCATTTTGACAATCAAAAACATAATTTTAATTTCGGTCAGAAAAAATGCTTATCATATAGTCTTCATACAAGTAAATAGTATGATATGGATTTTTTCAAAAGCAAAACACAAATTTGAGATGAAATTTTTTTAATCCTTTTTTTGGTTGCAAAAAAAAGTTGCAGGCAAAACTTGACTTTTTTATCCTTAAAGTAGTCCAGGATGAGTTTTCTCAACGACCAAATTTTTCAAACTAAAAATTATCTAGCCATATTCAAAATTTACATTTTTGGTATATAATTTTATGTGAAATTGTTCAAACTAAATTAAATGGCTAAATTCACCAAATGCTGTTCATCTATGTGGTAACTGCCAGTTACACTCTGGATTTTTCATGACAGAAAATCCTTGCTTAATGTTTTGGATGAAACACAAAATTTCAAGACAAAAACTTTTTGTATTTTCCTTTATGAAATAAATGATTATATAGTATGGAAAAACTTTCATCACGCTGTTTTCATATAAATTTGAGGATAAAAAACCTGATGAAAACGCTCAATTTTGTTTGGAAAATATGCTTTTTATAAAATTTCATATTATGGAAAAAAGTTCATAGTATGGAAATTTATTTTCATACACTTACTTTTGCTCTATGAATTTGTATGAAAGAGTATGATAAACATTTTTTTCATATAAGAAAATTGTATGATAAGCAATTTTGTCATCCCAGGCATTTGATACAGTCAGCTATTTAAAAAAGAGTCAAAGTACAAACGTTTCAGCCCTTTTTTGCGATTTACAAATTTATGTAACGAAAAAATGTTTCATTTTTTCCAAAACCTACTTAACCGAAAAAATGTTTCATTTTTTCCAAAACCTACTTAATTAGTGATGACTTAACGTACTTAACTGAAAATTCTTCCTACCTAGAGATTTTGTAGCTGCACTGTTTAATTGAGGCCTCTCTTGACAAGGCCTAACTGCTTTTTTGATTACCTAACATCATCAGAATTATGTAATACTGACAATTGTCTGTTAAATAACATCTAATATGAATCCATTTTATTAAGATTGCTATTTTGATTTTGGGCCCTCTAATACATGAGATGCCAAACAGTTAATAAGACGTCTTTCCAAATGACAAAAATTGAAACATTTTTTAATCGAGAAACAGTTTCTGACCCCGAATTTCTCTTTAAAAAAAGAACTTTTTTGAACTACACTGTTTGATAAAAACAAATTCTGATAAACGAATTATTCGTATGCGAAAAAACTAGAATAAATTTTGGTAGCAAGCCAAAAAAACGAAGGAAAAGTACTGTTTTGTTTTTAATCTACATCTTTTGGCCAGAAAAAGCAGTGCATGATGAAAGGCAGTGAATGATTTAACAGAAGTAAACGAGGTAGTTTTGTTATAAAGTACAGAGTAAATTTAGGATCCAATTGACGAAAACAACTTGGTTCTGCCAATCTGCTTGTTCTGTTAGAACAATATGATAATTTCAACCTATTTAATATGATCATTTCAACCTATTTCAACCATTTCAACCTAGTCTTAAATATTCGAATCTTGAAAAATTGAAAATCTTGGGTGTTTTTTGACTTATTTGAAAATTTTGTAGGCAACAGAAAGTAAAAACTGTTATTAATAAATTCGAGATGTGTCTTAAAGAAACCAGACTGCTCCTATATCAGGGCAAAGCCCTGATTGTTCCGACTGTTCCTTAATTCAAATCGAATAGTTTTTGGGAAAAGAACAATTTGAAAACCAATAAACTTTGGACAATATCACAGTGGGAAACTTTGAGTCGCACAAAATTAATACGACCGATCTGATTAGCTAGCATCAATTCAATCTGGAACGACTTTGTTTTGCGGGATAATTCGCCACGAATAAATCATTCGCTTTACGCTCTTAGCAAAATGACAAAAATTGACTGAATAAAAAATCAAACCGATCAAAAAGATTCCGTTTTTTTGAAAATTCTGAACAAAAATGAATGGTTCATCAAAGAAGTGTTTCAGTACCAAACAAAGTGAACTAGTAAAAAACTGATATGAATCCATATCTTCGTTATCACTAATGACTAAATTAACCAAATTTTCATTATGAGGCTCAACTGTGCACTGGATAAGCGAACATATTGGTGTGTGTAGGTCTCTAGAATCCAGAGACAAATCTTTTATCATGTATAAATTTTGTCGGAACGATCAAACAAAACTGGCAAAAATAGAAGAACAAAGAGCGCGTCCTTGTTGCGGAATCCGCTTAAAATTCACAAAATACACAGTTTGGCCTAGTTATGTGTGTTTTCAATAATCTTACTCAATTTGAGACACTCCAACCATCCAGTTATTTAATCGAAAGGAAATTACTGCTCGTATCAGGGGTCACCCTGACTGTCTTGTATGAGCAATCACCCAGACTGCAGACGACGTCATGGAGTAGCTTTTGATTTGAGAAAAGCTGATGAAATTGCAAAAGAATCGAAAAATTCTGGAACAAAAGTTATTTTCTAAATCATTCCCCACTAGCTATCTTAAGTACAAAGTGATTTCGCAAACAGTAACCTGTTTTTTTCTAAACAACTAAAATACCTACATTTAACTTGGATAAAATCCTCTGTCTGATTAAGTAGCTGCTCACGTGTTAAAAGCACGAGGCATATCGCGCGTTAATTATCCCTAAATCGGCCAAACTTGCAATTTTAAATCTCTCAAAACTAATTTGATGACAACAGAACATGGCGCACAAGTGATCACTTGTAAAATATATTCACACATTTTGAGCTATGGGCTTTAATAGTAGTTTGATAATAAAAAATCCCAACAAAAATTACTAGTTCAAAAGTCGAAATAGGTCTGCAGAACAAAAAGCAACTCGAGCACAAAAATTTCGCCACTTTCTCTGAATATTGGAGCAAAAATGCTGAATCAACATTCCGGCTCAAAACTTATCGTTGTACATATAATTCATTTTCAATCTTTTTTCTTGGTCCATTTTATAACTTAAACAAAAATTTTGATCAAAAAAAATTTGAAAGGTCGCTCATGTTCGGTCTACTCACCTTCACGATATGTTAAGACTTTGAATTAGGACAACAACCGATAAGCTGCGATTTGGTTCCCATTGCTCAAAAACGCGGGGGGTTTTCGAAAAGCAGCTTTGAAGATAGCAGTCATATAGTTATCCAGGCCTAATCAAAATATATTTGTTTTTTTTTATGGTTTTGTGGCACTTCAAAATTAGCGTCTTCATAAGCAATCTTATGACAAGCAGAACTTCTAGCCGCGGAACAAAAAAATTTTAGCGCACCAAAATTTGCCTCTTTATTTGTGCGAATAAAACGAGCGAGCAGGCTCACAATAGGTTCTTAATTTAATTGCATAAAAGCTTAAAAATGCCTAAGAAAAGCCATTAAACTTTAGTTTTACTTGAGCAAAATTAATTTTTCTGAGAACTTCAGAGCTTATTTTGGAATGCCATCTTTGAAAATTGTTAATTTTTTTTTTTGAAGTTTTGTGTTTCTACTCATATTTCTGATAACATTGTTTTCCAAGT